TGGGAAAATGAGGGACCCACTTATCACCTGATGATGCTGGTGGTGGGGACCCCGTTCCCAGCAGCCCCAGGTCAGAGGGCAGGTCCCTGCTGAGCACAGACCTCCAGGAGGGCCTTGGGTCCAATCCCGACACATGCACTTCCCTCTGGTTTTCTGGTCCTGCCCTGGGTCTATACACAGGGTTCTGGAAACTTCTCTGGGGCCCAGGACTAGGGCTTCTTTTAGGACCTCATGGCCCTGCCTCCTCCCTGATCTCTCATGGGATGTTTTCTTTCTGCAGGTAGGAAAGGAGGGAGCTATGCTCAGGCTGCCAGTGAGTATGGAGGGGGGACCCCTGAGTCCCTGTGACAGTGCAGATGGGAGCCATAGGGGACCCCACCCCATAGTTCCTCCTTAGTCTCCTGTCCTAGGCCTCTAACCCCGTCCTATTGTGTCCCCCCCACCCCCCAGGCAGTGACAGTGCCCAGGGCTCTGATGTGTCTCTCTCGGCTTCTAAAGGTAAGACCCTGCCATGGGGAGGGGAGGGCAGAGGGGAGGACTGGGTGGTGGGAAGTCTATGTGACACTGTGAGCATGAAGTGGCCTTTCAGACTGTCACCAGTTACAGCCACTGACCTGAATCTGTTCATTATTTTTCTCCACAGCGTGAGGCAGCTTCCTTGTGGGGACTGAGTGATGGAAGATGTGTTCACACTCCCACTTCCTGACTCCAGAACCTCTGATTGGGGGCTGGCCCCACCCTGCTCCCCATGCTTTCCTGTCAGCAGAGGCGGGCTGGGTCCTCGCATCCCTGCCTTTACTCCCTGGGGCTCTGAAATACAACTTCCTGCTCCGTATTTAAATGAGATTCTGGATGTGACTTTGTTCATTTCTTGCCATGAAGCGTTGATGGCTTAACTACGGGATGGCTGAACATCTGAGAGGATATTAATGGAAGCACCTAGAACTTTCATGGATCACATGTTTTTGTTGCTGAGCCAGTCACAGGTGGAGACAAGGGAAGCTGTGAGGATGGAGAATGCCCAGTGCATCGTGGGCTTTGACCTGTTCACTCCTCGGCCAGGTCACCTCACTGCTCCTCTGACCTTGTCCCTCAGTGGAACCCTGTCCCACCAGGACCTGTGGTCACAGGTACTCATATCCTTCTGGCCTTGTCCTGTGTCCTAATTCAGAGCATCTCCAGGACCCTGGACAGCAAGGGCTTTTGAGGTGGAGTCAGCTTGGACTCAGGCCTGGGTTCTGCCCTCAGCCCTAATCATAGGGGTGTTTGTGGTTTGTTTTTGTAGATGTTCCTCTCCCTCTCACTGTCTCTCCTCCTCTCTCCCCCTCTGTCCAATCAATAGAAAGATTGATTACCTTGGGTGAGGAGTAATGACAACAAAAAAGAATCAGGCAATGAATACATAAATAAGTGGAACAGCAAATGAATGTTTTCATTCTCCCCTCTCTTCCTCTTTCTTTCTAAAATCAATCAATAAAAGGCTGTGGAAAGGCTCCATCAAAGAAGTGTCTAAGGCTGTCAGGAGTCCCTCTTTCTCTCTTCCTCTTCCTTCTGCTTCCTGCCTAGACGGTGACCCTAATGGCTGGGCTTCCAGACTCACCAGGGCCCAAAGTCCTGTGGATGAAAGATGGGATAGAATGAGAACCTGGAGCCCTAGCTTCATTGACAGTGGGTAGAGCTTCTGCCTGTAACATAGGGTCCAAGGTTCAATTCTGGTCAAGGGCAAGTACCTCAGTTCAGGCTCAATCTCTGGCCCTGGTTGGGGCTTGGGCAGAAGGCAACCAATGGAAATTTCTTTCTCACGTTGATATTTTATCTTTCTGTCTCCCCCTCCCTTCTCCTCTCTTTCACCATCAATGGAAAACTATCCTCCGGTGAGCATTAACAACAACAACAACAACAACAAAGGAAATGCCTCCAAAATGCCTGATGACTGTTTCTCCCTCAAGCTTTTGTACACAAACTATTGTTAAGCCAGACTCCCTCCATGCATAATTCTGTAATTTGTTTTTTGAAAGTAAAATGGAATTTTTCAATAAATGCTAACTGCTATTATTATTACTTTTAAAGCTCATGAGTGGATAAAAAAGCTGTGGTGCATTTACATGATGGAATACTACTCTCTGTCATAGAAAAGAAGGAACTCTTACCCTTTGCAACAGCATGGATGGGTCTGAGAGCACTATGCTAAGTGATCTAATCCAGTCAGAGAAAGACAAATACCCCATGATTTCAATCATAGGTGGAACCTAACGAACAGAATACACCAGTAAACAAAATAGAAACAAACTCATAGAGAACAGGCTGACGGCTGACAGAGGGCTTGGAGGGTGTGGGGGTGGGTGAAAAGGTGAAGGGATTAAGTAAAAAACCACAAGACAAAACAAAAACCTCATAGACACAGACAATGGTGTGGTGATTGCTAGAGAGGGAGGGATATGAGGAGGTGGAAGAGGATGGAGCGGGGATAAATGGTGATGGAAGGAGAGTTGATTGGGGTGAACACAGCACAGCATACAGACAAGTGAGAAAACATGGACTCAAGCTCCCCTTGGGGACCTTCAGGATCCCTAACTGCTGTGTCTGCCACTGGCATCAGTGTCTCCTCATCAGCAGGATGCAGGCGCTGGTCCCCACGCCCCTCGCACCTGTGCTCCCCTCCAGTGACTTTCCTGCTCTGGCAGAGTTGGGGTGAGGCCATCTCTCTCAGGGTCTTCACTTCCTGTTGCACTGAGTTTTCATGTCTTGATTCCCTGTTGAAAATAAGAATCTGCATACGAATTAGTTGTGTGTGTGTTTTTTTTTCAAATTCTTGCCATGAAGGGTTGATGTGTTACATGGAGGAGAAGATTCCTAAAGTTGTAGAGAGGAAACCTGAGAAGCTTCCAGAATCTGTCTGCAGAGTCTGTTGCAGGTGGGGCAGGAGAGGCTGTGAGAAGCTGGTGTGGTTGGGGACTTTGCCCACTAGGAGTCATGGGATTGATGTGGTCACTCCTGGGCTGAGTCATGTTTGTTGCTCCTCTGACCTTGTCCCTTCATGAGAGCCTTGTCACACCAGGACCTGTGGTCACAGGGCCTCACACCCCCCAGGCCTTGTCACGTGTCCTAATGAAGCGCATCTCCAGGACCCTGGACAGCGAGGGGGGCCCTCAACTCAGCCTGGGCTCAGGCCTGGGTCTGGCCCTCAGCCCCCACCTTCAGGTGTTTGTTGTTTCGTTCCTTTTGTGGATATTATGACAGGTATTTTCTGTGTGTGGTTTTGGTCTCATTCTCTGGGTGTCCCCGTCTGACACAGGGTACATGTTGCCCGTCATGGTCCCACAGGCCCAGGTCCCTGCACACAGGACCCCGCGTGTGGAGAGATGGATTTCAGGCTCCTGCTGCTCTTGCCTAGTTCTCAGGCCTCATGTTCTTTCCCTGAACTTTCGGGGAACCAGGTTGTGAAGTTAGCACAGAGGAGGGTCCCCTCATTCCTCCTCTGAGATCAGGTCCTGCTGCTCTGCCCGCTGCCCCCGCTCCAGCCTCCAGTGGACCCCAGGATGTGGGGACGGGAGGCAGCTGCAGGTTTAGGGGAGCAGCGCTGGGGGCAATGCAGGGCAGTGACTTACCCGGGGGGCACCCTAAGCTGCAGCCGCCCCAGGACAGCTGTGCTGGGGCCACAGCCATGAGGACACTGTGTCCGGCACAGGGAGGGGCTCCCCCTGCAGGAGAGGTGGTTGAGTGACAGAGGTGAGCGCTGGGGTTGCCTCTGGGGCCTCACTGAGGGGGATGGGAGACCTGCGGGCCCGTGGGCAGGCGTGTGGGGCACAGAGTGTGTAAGAGCCAGTGAGCAGGAAGGGGTGAGGGGGAGAGAGGGAAGGGTCCTGGGGAAACACCCCGGGAAGGGGACCCAGGTGTGGGCTGTGGGCCAGGGCAGGCGGCTGTTGGTGGGTGGTCAGTGTGGGGTTCGCTGGGAGGTGACCTTGAGGAGAGATTGGGAGGTCATGACCCAGGAGGCCGCCTGGAGGAAGGTCTGCCCAGGCGGGAACCTGCAGTGCGCATGCCCCGGGGCAGGAGGGGTCTGGTCTCTGGGAAGAGCAGGAGGCGGGTGGGCGTGGAGCAGAGAGAGATGAAGCTGAGGCAGAGCCGGGGTGGACC